GTCTGCTTGTCCTACAGGCCCCTGGCATGACCACCGGCCTTTTCCGAGGTCACTCTGCCACCACCAAGCCGCAGAGGCTCTAGCAAGCTTCTTAATCTTTGCAAGTCTCGGTTTATTCAGGTATAAAATTAGGTTATTGTCCTTAATTTTTCCAGTTTACCGTGTTTCCTGCAGAGGAACGGCCCCACCACGTGCCCTGCGTGTGTGTGTCCAAGCCTCATTGCTGTAGTGACTCTTTACCAGCTCCGGACTGGGAGACTCGGGGATATTTCACTTTGCTTTTTCTCAGCTTTCGCTCGAGCTCCTAAGCATTCAGGCCAGACCTCAGTAATTGTCCTTCGGGGAAACCAGGTGTGCAGCTGAGCCCCACCCCCACCCCCGCCATTTTTAACCCGTTTTCTATCACGCTGTCACACACCACTGAGAGCTTTATGGCTTTCACTTTACCCCATCAGCCACCCTGTGCGGGGCAAAGCTCACCTCTCAGCCCGTGCCCCAGGTCAGCAGGGGGCCCCCAGGGAGTAAGATGGCGAGCGAGCCCGGTTCACCTTGGACAGCTCCACCGTCTCTCATCTCGTCCTGGTTGCTGCCAGTTCCGTTTCGTCGAAAAGGGAGATCCCACCCTCAGACTCAGTTCTGAGCTCAGACTGGCTCGTGATCTGGCAGACCCCTGGACTGTCAAATTCCTTTGCTCCCTCCCCAGAGAGCCTAACTCTGGGTCAGTGTCCCAGACAACCATCAGGAACCAGCTCTGCTAATCGGGGGACAAATGTTTCCGTTTGTGCGTAGGATAAAAGGCCCCCGACATTCAGAATATTCTCGGCCTGTCCCTGACCCCCCAGACATGTTTTCCGCGATCCTGTTGAATGCAACACCCATCCCACCACCCAGTCCCGAGGCCTCACTTGTAAATGTGACCCAGAACTGCTGTAATCGGTAACCAAGATCCCCGAAAACAAGGCGAGTCAGGGCTGCAGATCAGTTTGAAGGCCCAGGTGGGTCCCCCTCACCCCCAGATCCGGGTCTGCAGGTGTGCAGTCATCTGCATGGCTCTTTCCGGTGCCCAGGTCTCACCTGATGTTCTCGTCACAAGCTGTCCTTCACAGGAGGGCTGTGTTAAGGGGAATCAGCTCGGGAGTAGCTGAGAAGTCTGTGGAAACCTTTTACATTATCGTATAGCACGTGGTCCCGAAGTGGTCTGGCCTCTGACAAAGAACCTTGCCCTTCCCTAGGACGTCAGCGAAGAGGAAACTCATGACGGGTCTCCTCGAGAGCATGGCGGAGGCCCTGAGGAGTCCCGCGGGCGGGAAGGCACAGAGGAGCTCGCCTTCGGCCAACGTAAGTGCCCTGGAGCCAGGGTCTGGCTTAGGGAAAGGGGGTGGCACCCCAGACCTCGATGTGTGCAGCTGGCTGAGTGCAGCCGCCCGCTGGGGAGGCCGGGAGAGGGAGTCACGCTGTCTCTGAGCCACCTGCGTCATGGGTAATCGTGGGTGCCAGGGAGACAGGGGTCTGGAGGGGATACAGCCAGTGACCATGAGCCAAGCAAGCCGGAATGAAAGGCTTTGGAAAGCACACGCCAGTGCCAGTTCGGGCCTTGGGAGAATTCTGGTGCCACAGTGTTGCGATGACCAGGGCGCAGGATGTCTAGACCATTCTGCCAGAGGCTGAGCCCACACGACATCCGCCTTCCCATCTGTGGGGTCTGCAGGCGCTTCTGGACCTGCGGTTGTGGTCCGACCTTAGCTGCTTCTGTCCACTTCCAAGCTCAGGGCCTCCATTGCCGGCATCTCCACTTCTCTCGGCTCAGCCTCCTCCTCACCCGCTAGTCACGCCCACAGTCAGTCTCTCCTTTCCCTTAAGAAAGTTTAACTCAGTGGAATCTTTAAGGAAAAGGAAATATTGAGAGAGCTTGGCTGTGTTGTTTGAGGCAAAGTCCAGAGGCCAGCTACGCAAAAACCACATGAACTAAAGGGACAGGGAACAAACGTTACCCTCTCACAATCATGGCCCTGAACAAAGCCAGCTGAGGAGAGCGATTTTCTGTCAGAATGAAGCGTAAACCTGCTTTCGCACATAACAAAGTATAAATCTGGCAGAGGATACATAGAGAGAGTCCAGGATAGTGGTCCTCATCCCTGAATGTGTATTAGAGTCATCTGGGGAGCTTAAAAAATACAGATGCCTGGACCCCATGCCAGAGATTTTCATTGACTTGGGGTGGAAGGTAGTAGATGAGCATCAGTATTTTTGTAGACTCTGCATCGGTGATATGAATGTGCAGCCAAGGTTGAAAGCCACTAGTCTGGGACCTCAGCTAATCCAGCCCAAGGTGGCCACATGCGCAGTTTATAGAAAACGCTGATAATTAAATGAGCGGGCTTGCATTCCTCTAAGGTCAGCTTACCCTGGAATACAAAACAGAAAGTGGCAGATGTAAAGATGATCTCACTTGTGTCCCTACCCCTGTGACTTGTCTTTTTTCAAATGTGCCTCTGTGGCATTTACATTCTTTAGGTCCTGAGACTACCAAGGCGGATAGATCTTGATAGTATAATCGGTAATCAATGAAGAATTCAAATATATTGCTGTATAATACTTTTATTCAGTAGCTTTATGGGGAAAAAACCCTGACATTTCAGAATGTGTTACATCACATAATTTTCAGACACAGCAGAGTCCAGTAACAAACTACATTTGAAGACAAGCTTTAAAACCTGTCCTTGTATGTCATTCCTTGTGAAATGTTGCAAAGCGGCTCTGTACCTCAGCACGGAAGGTTCCAAAAAGCACCATTTAAAGGGGGACTCTCAGGTATTAATTCCCCTCACATCATAGTCTTGCCCCCGCTTTATGACAGAGCTGCACTCACTCAAAATCTGTCAGTGTAATAACCACCAACATCCTCTAATTTACCGAAATTCAAACAAGTGTCACCTATGAGCCCAGTGTGGCGATCGGGACTAACGATATCAGTGAGCTTTCTAAAACCACACTCGAGTCAGGTTAAGTGTTCCGTAGATAGGAAAAGAAAAGTCAGGTGATCAGTACGTAATATTTATAGTAGGTATCCCTTGACCTTTTAACCTGACTACAAAATCCAGTGTTTAGTATTTCACACCAATCATACCGCGAAAGCACTGTGCTACACACGCTTAGTTCGACTTCAGTTAATGCTGGAAGTTAATAAGAAAATTTAATTTTTAACAAGATATCTTCACTTCAAAGCACAAGAGAAAAGCGAATGAAGACAAAGCCCAAATATAAATCCATTGCTAAAACTTAGGTTTCATAAGTAGCGGACTCTTGAGTTTTTTCTTATTCCTTTTTTCCTATAATTTTAAAATAGATATGGCCTTTTCACTCCAAAAGTTTGGGTGCATTGCAGAAATCGACAGCCTTTCAACCTCCAGCTGTGACTGGCGCTCAAGGAGAGACACACGCCCAGGGCCAGAGGTTTGAAAGGCCGCAGCCCCTCCCCTGCCACGTCCTCTGTCCCATTCCCATGGGCAGCGAGTCTGCAGTCCCTCTTAGAGGACAGCGAGACCTGGCTTTAAGGATGAGTCAGAACAAAGCGGAAACAAACTGGGTGACTGTGAGCAAGCCCATGCCCCAGGTCACTGGAACGTGAGCATTCAGAATGTGTTTCACACGCACGCACAGACTATTGCATAATATTTTTAGTTGAGGTCAAAATTTTAAGAGCCCTATTTCCCCAGTGAAAAGCAGGGGATCCTATCATTAGTATTTCTTCTTCATTTCTACCCCAGATTAGTGTAAGCCCAGCCTGGAGGCGACTGTTCTTTCCAAACTTGACCTCATTCAGCAGCATACACGGAGTAGCGACACTTTTCAAAGGCTTTCTCTCAGACCCATTAGGTCTACAAGAGACTAGAAACTGGAGGGAAGTGAGGGGGCCTGGGTTTATAGGGTCCTCAGAAACGTCTCTTGGGTTCTTTTATAGGCTCCTCTACCACATAAGCATCGTTTTAAAGAGCCAGCACTGTTGAGGCTAGGTATGAAATCCCACTCAGCTCTAAGCCTAAAGCAGCTCATGACCACGATGAGAAAGTTCTCCGTACCAGTAAGATGACCAACACTGGTTTTAGGTAAGGTTTGATTTGAGACTCTGGTAAAGTCTGCCTGACAAATGAAGTTAAAGCGGAATATAGAAGAGTAGAGAATAGGAACAAGAGATAAAGGGAAGATGTTCTGTTCAGTAAATTCAGTACAATGAGGTCCAAGGACACCGGTCTGTCTGATGTCATTTTTAAAGGAGGTGTTTAGTTCTGAGTTACCAAGGCTTTATTTCCCTGGTCTCGCTCCTCAGCTCAGTCATTCTTTCTTTCTCCCAAAGCCTCAAAACCATGATGCTGTTCTTCAAGGCTCAGCCCTCCCCAGAGCTATTTCCTTCTTCTTCTGACTCTGTGAAACTCCTATAGAAAAAACTAAAAAATGATTTTCTTGCCTTTATCCATTTTCAAAACCTGCCAAACTCTCTTCCGCAGAAGGTCGACTATCCCTCTTAACCAGCATGAAAGAATGAGCGAGCTGTACTTCCTCCTTCCCTCTCTTACCTTCTAGAAGTTTCTCGGGGACAGACAGAGGGTGATGGGGCTTCGCAGGGCCATGGGGCGTATCGGCAGTGCAAAGAAGGAACAGTGCTGAACGAGTCGGCACCCAGTCCCTCTTCCCAGTCCCCTTCCACCCCAGCCGGTAGGCGCCCCTTCCACATCCGGCTGAGATATTAGCTCAGACCTCGGGAGACTGACACGCTCTGCACATTTCCAGGTTAGAAAGATGGAAAGGTCACCAGCCCCCAAACCTACTGTCTTTGGAGCCAGACCCAATTCAGAGAAGCCTCTGGCCTGAGAGGCTCTTCCTGCCCACCTCCACTGACACACCTGTGGGAGTAAAAATTATAACACGTGGGCACGGAGACAGTTACATTCCAATACTGCCGACAAGAAATACGAGTACAACAAAACCCTCCACGTAACCACCAAGACTTTGAATCCTCCTAAGTGGCCCACTTACTGATGGGTATCGGAAAAAAACAAAATTCTAGTCTAAATGAAGACACTGTAGATCCCGAGATCCTGCTTATAATAGGATTTGGCCAAGGTATTTAAAATGGCACCCCATTCAAAAAGTGGTTGGGACCATGAAAGTTCTCCACGAAAGCCTCCTGCAGAACGTGGCCTTGAGTGGCCAACGCAGCATTTACTCTCAGCCGGTAACCGCCACAGCACCGAGCAACTCGCATTCCGGCACAGCCGCCCCCGCCTCCTGCCTCGGCCCGGATCTAAGAAGCCTACGTACTTGCCGGACAGTTCTGTCCTCGGCTCCGTATGGGGAAGGCAGGAGGTAGCTCAACTGACCTGTGGGCGCCCTTTCAGGGTGGCTGGGCCCGTCTTAGAGGTCAGGGAGTCTCGCAAGCATCAGGTGTGGCTTTCGGTGCGAACGTTTGACTCGCATTTATCTGTAATGGAGGAGCCACAGACACCTGGGAGAAAATATTTTCTCTCTGAACCCCAAAAGTGGATTGAATACCTACTTTTCATTTCACAAATGGAAGTCATGGACCCCACCTCATCATCAAACACTTAAAAAGAGGCAGAGAAACGATCCTGATCCTGTTAGCACTGGTGCGGCGGAGAAGGACTTTCTGTGGCTGGGAACGCCAAGGGTGCCTTCGCGATTCTTGGCCTAATGAGTCTTTCAGTTGAGGGAACCTTTCAGGTCCACCCGATGAGTCTGAATAAGCCTCATGGAAAGCAGTGTGTGCTGTAATGGTGTGGCTAGGGTCAGACACATTAGTGTGAGATTTATGTGTAGAGGGCTAGACGAGAGATGCTGGCAACCTTTCGTTAAGAGTCTGAAGTTCTCCTTTGCAGTTTCTTAAGACCAATGAAAAGGTATTTCTTAATTAAAGGAAAATGCAGGCACATAAAGATCTTACAAGGACGAAGGACATGAACGTGTGCCCTGGCTCCACTGCCACCTTCAAAGCTGTCTACTCTGCAAAAGAGAACAAGGAAGCAGGGCCAGGCCGGGTGGGAAGACCCGCGGGCGTGTGCCAGGCAGCCGGAGCTGCCGCCTCGAGCCGAACAAGTCGCAGGCCCGCCTTCCCGCCCTCTGGCCGCGCCGAGCCATGTTTTCCTTAGACGTTAAAACAAGCAGTCACGGGGTGGCCTGTGCCGTGCCCTACAGGGGACTTCCCGGCAGCCCTAGTCTCTGAGGGGGGGGCGTCAGGTCTCACACCGCCTTTGATAAAGGGGTCACTGACCCAATGAGCAAGGCTCAGGGACAGGACCCGACGGTTATCAAAGTGAGACTGTGAAATGAGAGGAAAGGGTGCTGTGGGCATCTGGTACCGTCAGACGAACAGATTGTGCCACATGCTCTGGGAACACAGAAACCCATGCAAGGAGCCAGCTGTGAGCCGGGCAGGAGTCCCGCCCACGTACGCCCCCTGGAGAGCCCAGGTCGTGGCGACAGACTCTCCGCCCGCCAGGGATCCCATTCATTTTAGGAAAAATACTTCCTGTAGTGAATGCTTCTTCCTGCGACCCCCAAGCAGGGTGTGGTGAGCCCCATAGGCCAAGAGACTATATCTAGCTAGGGGGCTTCCATTGACCTTCCTCTCACATGTGTATATATGTGTAAATTTTTTTTCTTAAAATAAATTCCGTGAATTCATAAAGCTCTCATCTTCAACAAATGCAAAAGCAGAGCATCTTTCTCAGAGGCTCTGAAACACACACATCAGCCTCAAAGCAAATTAGCCTTCCAGTCTCAAGTAAGACTGGTCCAGCCCAGAAAGGCAAGGGCGACGCTTCTGAATCCTGGGAGGCAGGAAGGGGTCCCTTCAGATGGGCTTGTACAGCAGAGTGGTGACATACTTCTTCTTGTAGCGATGGGTCGCGCTAAGGACCATCACGCTGTCCTGCAAGAGAAAGAAACACGCGGCTCACTCATTAGTCCCGGCGCACGCAGCTCTTCCTGCCTTCGGGCCTGCACGGCGACGCACTTTTAAGAGACGTAGTTTGATGTTACAGGAGGCTGGTTTTGGAGTCAAACCAAGTTCCAACCCTGACCCCTACTGTTACTCTGTTCGTGGCCTTAAATGGTCTACTTAACGTCTCTAAGTCTTTTTCCTCATCGTTACAAAGGACAACACCTACCATTAAGGTAGCTCTGACGATCACACGGGAACGCGTGGTGCGGTACCAGACTCGCAACAGGTGCTGAGGGAATATTCGTCTCCTACCTCACCCTCTTCCCCACTTTACATCTGAATATTGGGCTTAAAACGAGCAAAGAAAAAAAGAAATATCTTGCCGTCTATTTCTAGAAGGAAGTCATAAACACGATGAGAAGAAAGGGCAGTGATCCCTTTGAAAACCCATTTCGCCCCGAAGCAGGTCTAATTCTCATTTGAACGTTAAAAGTCCTCTCTGATCAAGAGCGGACTCAGGAACCCCCTCTCTATCTTTGAATGAAGTGGACCCTAAAATCCTCCTTAGAGACACTCGATCCAGTGGATCAATTCCAAATAGCATAAGCGATCTGAGAGAACCAGAAATGAATCGAGGCCAAGCCGGATCACAATAATAAAGACCTTGACCTGGGTCAGAACCAGTGTGAAAAGTAAGAAGTACCGTTTCCCAGGCTGTGTTGCAGCCAGGCAAGGAGCAGTCACAGGAGGCGGAATCCAGTCAGACCCCAAAGAACCCAAGCGAATCCAACCGAGAAACTATTTCAGCTTCTTATTTCCCCCTATACTTTATTATCCACAATGAAAGCTTCTCAGATTAACATCTGTGATCAGAGTATGCTGATCGCAGCCTAAACATGACAGAAGCCAGGCAGATAAAAAATTCAACTCCAGGAAGGGTCTGGTAGCAATGAGGAGCTTAGAAAGCCCTGGCATGACAGCCTCCAGGATGGAGCACGGATCGTCAGAGCCACCTTAATGGAGCACGGAGCGGGCTGCCGTCCGCTCTCTCGTACTTACTGGCAATTTGACCTTCTCTTAGTTTCTTTATCTATAAAACAGGGGTTAAAAATAACACTTATCTCACAAAGTTATTACAAAAATGAAATTCAATAATATATATATTTTGAAGTACCATATGATCTGTTAAAGAAGCTGTTTAGTGATTTCCCTAATCTGGCTGCACATCTAAGAAACAGAAGCAGCTGAAGAAGATTCCTGGGGCGCGTGCTGGACGTGCTTACTCAGAACCCCTAGGATGGAGCCTCGCAGGCTCCCCAGGTGGGTCTGATGACGGCCAGACCAGTTGGGTCGCTGCAGAGCACGCAGAGCTTCAGCCCAACAGCCAGGCCACGGAGCCGTGACTGGACAAAATAGAGATTTTCAACCCAGACGCTAAAGCAGCAGAGAAATCAAGGACTCCAAGAGCTGGAGGGGACAGGGCATATCTGGTCCCATTTCTCATTGACCAAGTGTACAGGACAGATGCACCCACTTGGGTATATGTGACGGAGGTGCCTGAGAGCAGCTCGCATCCACATTTAAAAAGTGGGAGCCTTACTGTGACATTCGAGCATTCCTGGAACTGGAAGCTAAACTTGCTTTTTCTGCAAATGAAATCCTAGTGCTGTGAACTCAAACTCAATGAAGTAGGTGGTACAAAGGTTATAGTCACCTAAAAAAGAAATTGGGGACCAAAAAATCCACTCAATCACAGGGCATATACAGACTAAGATTAATTAAAAAAAAAAAGAAAGAAAAAGAAAAAAGACAAAGAAAAACCTACCCAGTAGTTAAAAAAAGTTCTCCTATAATCTGCCCATGACTGCCCAGCTTCAACTCCAGTGAAGGAGCAGAGCCAGCAACCACTGGTGAACACATGTGACCGTCCCTCCCATTTGGGGGCGCTCTGTGAAGAGCCAGGCCCACCACTGACCTTAATGGACAAGGCGTAGAGATGGTTCAGCATAACGTGATTGGGTTCGGGGAGCAAGGCTGGGTCACACTAAGAGAGAAAAAGAAAATCACGGAATGGGGTTAAGTGCAGTCTTAAACCAAACAGGCTACTCTTCTTCAGAGCCTTTGAGGTTGCCAAGGAACTCCAAACCAGAATGTATTATTTCTCTTACATAACGGACTCACTCTAGTGTACATCAGTAATATGGTCTCATTACCGAAAATGAGGAAAATTCCGAGTCCGGGGCAGACAGCCTAAGCCTCAGCAACTATTCATCTTCCTCGGCAGAGCTAAGACAGAAGTCTTGCCCACAGCATATACAGAAGATTCATGTCAAGAGGCAAAACTAATCTTAGAATCAAGTATATTGATTAGAGATGTCTATTATATGCAACCCCCCACCCCCCCAAAAAAATCCTTTATACTTCTGTATATCTCCAAAAGATAAATACTTCTTATCCTGTATTGGAATAGAAGTCCCAGAAATTGGCTCTAGTACTCCGCATTGGCTCTAGTATTCCATAGCTCTCGGCCTGATTTATTAGGGCCAAAGACCACTGTGGATTTGACATCGGGACCTGGAAAAGCCATGACTCGGCCCTGGAAAAAGGAATCTGTAATGCTCCTGATAGATGCGATCTATGCTCTCAGGGCACCTTTGCAATGACTCCAGCCTCTAGGACTACTGAACTTCAGCGCGAATGGCCCCGGTGGCCCTCGGCTGCCCCAGCGACACTCTCGGGATACTCACAGAAATATTAGTGTCCTTGTTAAGAATAACCTGAAGAAGGTGAGGAGGCAGGATGGGCGGAGACTTGAATCTCTCCTCGGATCGAAACACATACATTTCTTGACCGTAAGGCCCTGGGGGTGAGCTGGTAAGGTCTGGAAGATATTCACCCAAATATAAGGGCAAGTTGGGAAACTAGTAAAAATGCATGAAAAACTATTAATACACAGCAGCTAATATTAAATATGGTGGAAGTCGTGGACCATACACCTGTGACGTGTCGGGGCTACAACTGTAAGGCGATCAAAGAAAAATATGAGTCATTCTGCACATGGTCCATGATTCTGCGACACGGCAACGTGGAGGTGACAGGAGATGAGGGCAGCGGATGTCGGCCTAGGGGACAGCTGCTCCCTTTAGCAGTCGTGGGACCTGGGACAGGTCCCTAGGGGACAGCTGCTCCCTTTAGCAGTCGTGGGACCTGGGACAGGTCCCAAGGGGACAGCTGCTCCCTTTAGCAGTCGCGTGGCCTGGGACAGGTCCCTCTCACCATGCGACGTGGATGAATCCTGGAAACATGTTAAGTGAGAGAAGCCAGACCCCAAAGACCACATACCGTATGATCCCGTTTACATGAAATGTCCCAAATAGGAACAATTCATAGAGACCCAAAGTAAATTTGTGGTTGCCAGGGGCTGAGTTTTTTTTCTGTCTCAGAGAAGGGGACGTAAATATTTACAGATGAAATATATCTCTCTATGGAATATATACACACTCATCTATATGATGTATACATATACACATGTAAAATGCAGAAGATTCCTGGGCAGAAAATGAAAAAATAAAGAAACAAAAACCACTCTTGGGAAGGAACATGCATTATAAGAAAAGCACATCAAGAAAGAGCAAATACCACAACATTACCGCGACAGGAAGTCTCCGAGCTTTCCATGGAATCGAGCTTTAAAGCATCAAACACCTCAAAATCCGATTTCTTGACATGGATCAAATTGTTAATCGTCCCGAGCTGACTGGTAACCACAGGCTGAAACAGTGAATAGGAAAAATGCATGAGTCTCCATTCCAAATGCATCTCTTCCGTCCACCTCTCTTTTTAGAAATGCTCATACCCACCACCTCCCCCATTCACCAAGAGAGAAGCCCTTCCACGGCAGAAAACCGCTGCCCGTTAGCCCTGACAGCAATGACGTCTGCCACCAAGGGCAACGATGGCTGAAAGGAGGCTCGTAAGTCAGCGGTCACCCTCGGAGACCCAGGCCTTACCTCCGATGGATCGTGAACCCACTGTCCGTCCACAAAGAACTTGTACTGGTGCTCTCCCTCAGGGAGGTCCAGGATGGCCACAAAGTCGTTATGGCTACAGAAGAAAACAGAAGGTTATACAGGCCACGCTCCTGTTAGAACGTAAAGGTAAAAACCATGAGGCAAAGTGTCACACCAGTGATAGCCCACACTGCTGAACGCCTGCACCCCGGCGTGAAAAGGTTATTTATAAACCCAGTCCCTTTCCTGTACCATGTTGAGCACGAATTGGCCAGCCCCTCCCCATAACTTTCGTTCTTAACTAATACCTGGGAAAGAATAATCAAGATGATAATCCCCCAAAATGGTTCGCCTGAGGACAACTATTTTGCTTCAGCAGAACAGATCCCTCGTAAGCGCAAACAGGACAGCAGGGATTCAGGATACAGAAGTGGCTCAAGGCACCCGTTCCATAGTGTGGTGAGCATTTTCTGGAAAATTACCTACTGACACGTCGGCCATTATGACTACTAGTGCTCTGCAAGTAACAAACAGCATTGAGACCTAGAACTTCACAGTGTGTTTTAGAAGTCAGAGCAACTGGACTCAGCCCGTTACACAAGGCTTCCCACAGCACAGAAAGGACTTGGCATGAGCACAGTCCTAAAGAATGTACCCACGAAGTTGTTACAAGTCTCTCTGAGGTAATGGCATTCTAAGTGATCAAACATCTATGACTCACTAGGAGATGTAAAAAAAAGAAGTCACAGATTAGTCACGGGTCACAGAAAACGGTCTGGAGTCCCTGGCAGGTGGAGAGGAGGTCCAGCCAGGTCTCTCCCTACTCCTGGGCTCTGCAGACTCAACCAGGACACGGTCTTCACCTCTTAATCAGTGGGATCTTGGCGCTCCAGTTGTTGAAGGAGCCAGAGATGAAGACCGCCTCGCCGCCTTCGGACCAGCGGATCACGGTGGGCCGCGCCTGCTGTGCGGGCCTCGCGGAGTCCTCCAGGTCCTGCTGCCACGATACAAACTCTTTGTCCCCGGGGAGCTGTAAGAAGGATTAGGTCATCCGTAGACTGTGACCCAAGAATTCCCGAAACCCCCTTCCCCTCCCTCGGGCAGAGAGGGGCGCTAGGTTTCTGCTAAGGATCAGTACGCCCCGAAATTAGCGACCAAATCAGGTTTTGAACAAACTCCAGAAAAAGGACTCATCTGAGACTGAAATGGTCAAGTGGCTTATGCTCAAGGGCTGCCCCGATCACAGCCTGACTTCTAAGTCTGCAAGTATCGCTCGCCCTTTCACGGCCTTGGGATATAGGATCTCTCTTAAGAAAAAAGAAACAAAACCCTACTTCGCATCACCAAATTAACTCGCAGGAAGGCAATTATGATATGCTTCTGAGTGCCTCTTACAAAGGAAAAAAAATGTGAAAACAAAGTATGGTTACATAGAAATATAATTAAGTTAGCTACATATTTCTCACGTGCAACTATGAGCAGCTCTCAATTATCAGTTGTAATGGAAATTAGATACTGAAATTCATAAGTAATTTATAAACTCCATTTTAGCTAATAGGTTACAAAGGGCATTAAAAATATAAAAACCAGACCATTGGTTTCTTAAATGTTGAGAAGTGGTTATGAACTCTTATTTGCTCACCTATGTCAGGTTCATGCTAATTATTCAGGAGTACGGATGAAAACTGTGGAGCCTCAAGGAACATCACATCAAACACAGTTTCCCTTAACAAAAGCAAACTCATTTGATATTTGATAGTTCCAATATCAAATGAGGTCTGTAGGGTTCTGAAAATAATTGACCCTTCCTTAGTTTCTTTTCATTTCCACGTTGGGAACATTTCCCAGGGCCGAGCGACTGAAGAGAGGCTGCCGACTCCATCATCACATTAAGAGTTTAATAAGGAGACTTAGACGTGAGGCGTGTGTTGGGCGCTGGCAAGACAATGTGATATAATCCATGGCCGGTACCTGGCGCCAACGAGTTGTGCAGGACAGGGCAGGACAGACAAGGGTACTTGGGGTGTGAGACGCCCCAGATAAGAGGAAAAAGACTTACATGCCTGCCTGGGGCAGGGCAAGGGCCTGTTCCCCAGCCGGCTTTGGGTGGTTTGGGAGTGTGGGGGAGGGGGGTTGTCCAGGAGGTTTACAGGAAGCAGTCTCCATTCTGGTCCTGATCTAGCTGGATCTAGCTTGAGGGTCAGGCAGAGGCCATATCCTGGAACAGTCTCTCCTGCAGGTACAACTATCCTTCAAAACAGGAACTGGCAAACTATGGTCGGTGAGCCAGATGCTTTTATAAGTAAAGTTTATTGGGAATGAACTTTATATATAAAACGCTCATTCATTTACTTATCTACAGGTGCTTTCATGCTACAGTGGCAGAACTGAGCCGTGGTGACAGAGACTACAGGGTCTGCAGAGTCTAAAAGATTTACTCTCTGGCCCTTCACAGAAAGTTTGCTTGTCCCCACTTTACACTGGCTTAAGTGGCTTTGGTAAATAGGCAAATAAGACGGTACAGTACCAAGTCAAAGATTACCGAATAAAATAATGTGGGTTTAAAAAGAAAAAGGATTAGCTTATTAGTTTGGGCTCTATTTTCAAAATGGCTGGGGTAGTCGACCTTCCATACTGTCTCTCGATAGTCTCAGAACTGTGCTGTGAGACACCAGTAGCAACATAATCCAAAGTAAACAGAGAAATAATTGAAAGGACTTTCACATTATATAAGGCAGTGGCTTAAGCGAAAACCTTGATCTCCATATTATTAAAGCAATGCTCTCTTGCCTGACTGGCTACGTTAGAATTACAGAAATTTTTACATATGCGTTAAGAATAATCCTGAGATTCTGATTCAGATGCATGGCCTGGCAATCTTTTTTAAAAGCCTCCCAGATAATAACGCTGTGATACATTAAAATAAACAAAGAAAAAAAAAACCCTCGTCTTTAGAGATAAGTCCTAAAATATTTACAGATAAAATATTTGATAAGTCTAAATTTGCTTTAAAATAATTGGCAGGGGTAGATTGGGGTACAGATGATAGAAATTCATTGTTTATACTGGGTGACAGGTATTTAAGAGTTCATTACACTATTCTCCCCACTTTGAAACATGGAAAATGTTTCAGATTTTCCATTGTTTAAACAAATCTCAGATGATTTTAATATGCAAATAGGACCGAGAACTGAAGAAGGTGAGCATTCAAACGTAGGCCCCACTGCCAGTTACTTTTATGATTTAGGATTTTCCGTTTAGAATTTGAAAGCTACAAACTATTAATATACCTAGCTTTGGAAGAAAGCCCTTCCACATATGATACGACGTTTCTGTGGTAGGCATGAGTGCAGCTAACTAGCAGAAGGATTGTTTACTCCAAGTTAAACAGTCAGCAAAATCATCAGGAAGAGAACAGAAAACAATTAGAACAGTTTAAAATGCTTACGGTGAAATATTGAAGGAAGAACTATAAAATTTTAGACTTGTAAAGAGACTTTAGGAATTACCTGAATGGGTTTTCCTATTTCACAAATGGCAAGACTGGGGTAAGGGAAAGAAGGATCCAAAACAGGCTCCATTTCGCACAGAGCGATCTGGCGTACTCAGGACGCCGATGACTGCAGTCACGGTTTGATAAATACACTGTACTTAAATCCTGAGTCATCAGTGTAGGAAAAGGGTAAAACGATAATGAGGTAGGTAGCCTTGAGAAAGCCTTGAAGAAGTAAATTCAGACGGCCGGGGAGACGGCCCGAATGATGAGGAGGCGTCCCAAAGGGGGAGAAGAAACCCAAGAAATGGACCTTTAAGTCATTTTCAGTGGTCTCTGCTTATGTTTGCAATTGGGATCCAAGGAAATAACCAAACTCAATGTGCTATGAGGTGGCAAGTCACGCTCTATTTACTTCGTGGGAAGCGACAGGAAACGGCAAACGCACTGGTCTCAGTACCTCCGATTTCTACTTCATCCCAGTCGGCCTTAATCTATTCTATGCTGTCAGCTCTAAGAGTGATAAACATTTGGACAGCAATCACGTTGCTGTCACCTCCCTCTGGCCTTTCTGCAGAGTGCTTACAAACTGCCACTTTCCTGAAAGTCCTTGGGATTGACAGCAAGGTCTTCCGGCAGCGTGGGTGGTCCGTTTCCAGCCCTGGTGGCATTACCCGGCACCACCGGCCCGCGGGAGTAACCCCGAATCACTGGTTCTCCCACTTGCGCAGCTGGGCTCGGAAGAAGCACAACCTCAGCCACCACATCTATGAAGTATGGGGCCAAAACTGAGCAGCGATGTCCTCTACTGGTCCCCAAAACTAGGAGAAAGTGTTCAGATAAGTGGTTGCTGCTCACGGCCAAGCCGAAGGGGAAGAGGATCCGAAGTGCTGAGCTTCTGGAAGAGCAACAGCGATCCTGACGCAGCGGAGCCGTCAGGAGAAAGAAACTCATTTACCCACCTCGGGGCAAATGTCAGAAACCGCGCCTGCGGTCGGCAGCTCAGGCGACCTCTCAAGTTTTCCGCCAGCGCTTACAACCTATAAAGTCCTCACGGTGCCTGTCAGGAGAACCAAAGGTTGGGGGAGAGGGGGGTCCCTACTGTCCTCATCCTAAAAATGTGGCCGAGAGACTGGTCGCACACCACGAACCCCGCTTCCACCCTCTTCTGGGGCAGCACCGCAAGGGGAATGAGCATCCAACAACTCCGTTCCCGAAAATCGCTTTAATAAAAACAAAAAACCAAAAAAAACCCGTAACCCAGATCAGCGCGGTAAGACCCGAGAAAGGGAGGCGGAGCCCCGAACCCCAGCCCGCCGCAGCCCCGCGGCCCCGGGCGCGGGCGGACGCTCACCTTGGAGTCGGGCAG